TTTTTTCTTTATTTTTAATAAAAATCTTTTATATTAAGAAGAATAAAGATGCATAACATTAGTTGAAAGGGGGGTCTTGTCAAAGTGGAGGCGAGCGAGCAAGCGAGCTTGCCGGAGCAAGGGGTAAACCACTTTCTTTCCTCTTATCTTTCCTTTCCTTTCCTTTTTTTTTCTTTTTCTTTTTTTTTCTGTCTTTTTATATAAGATGTGCATGAGGTGCATGAGGTGCATGAGGTGTACACCTCTAGCGCGCCTCATGAAAAAAGTGCATGAGGCATACGCCTCTTGCACCTAAGGCTTATGCCTCAGAGGTGTCAGCACCTATGGCATATGCCTCAGGGCGTTTTGGGAGCACCTCAAAGTGTATGCCTCCCACGCCTTTTAAAACACTGCATTATATAATATAAATTAGACATGTCATATTATAATATTTATATATAAAATATATAATATAATATAAAATAATATGTGTACATATATACATTATACATAAAATGTGTATTTTTAAGTATATGCGGGTCAGGCCCAAGTCGGGCCTGAACGCAAACCCAGGCCCAAAAGCCTAGAATTTCCTGGCCTGGCTGAAATGATCACCCCTAAATCTAGGCCACGAGCCCACCGGCTGACCTTGTCATCTGCCTCAGAATTGTTGGGCCCCCTGAATCAAATAGAATTACAACTCCTGGACCAATATGCTGATGTATTCCAGGAACCCCAGGGTTTGACACCCCCCAAGCCTCAGGACCACAGAATACCAATCATGCCCGGAGCCCCACCTGCCAATGTGCGGCCGTATAAGTACCCACAATTTCAGTGGGAAGAAATTGTTTTGGCAGTCCAAAAGTAGCAGGCCTACTTATTGGGCCGGCGATTCATCATCAGAACAGACCAATGCAGCTTGAAGCACTTAATGGAGCAGTGGGTGCACGCTATGGAACAGTAGAAATGGCTCACCAAGCCGCTGGGGTACGATTATATTATAGAGTACAAGCCCAAGCCCACCAACAAAGCAGAAAACGCCCTATCGAGAAAAACAGAGCTGGCCCATTTGGGAACCTCTAGGCCCAACTTCCCTCTCCTTGAGCAAATTAAACAAGAGGCCCATAATGACACAGATCTATCCAAGATCCGAGAGCAGTGCATGGAGGATCCAACTTCACACCCCACGTACTTGGTAAGGGACTCAACCCTCTTCTTCAAGGATAGATTGGTAATTTCACCCACTTCACAGTTCATACCAGAATTGCTACATCCTTTTCATGATGCACCTCAAGGGGGCTACTCAGAGATCCTAAGAACCTATTGTCGATTCGCATCTCACTATTACTGGAGGTTTATGAAACACAAGGTAAGGGAGTACATGGCCTCATGTTCAATGTGCCAACAGCAAAAATATGAGGCCCAAGCCTCGGTTGGCCTCCTCCAGCCCATTCCTATACCAAAAAGGGTGTGGGACGAGGTATGCATGGATTTCATAACCGGATGTTGAAGGCATATGTTTTTATCCTTTTTCCCTGATTGATGTGTTTTTCAGGATCTGGAGACAAGGAAGGTGATTGGGACTGGCCGTGAAACGAATGAAATCTATCTGCTTGGAGGAAGTTCTCATTGGGAAGATAGTGAAACTAAGAGGTCCTTTGTTTCTCAGTCTGTTGATCAAGTGATGCTTTGGCATAATAGGATGGGTTATTTATCCTTTCGGGCTTTGAAGAGTTTATTTCCTAGTTTATTTGAATCTATCCAGATGTTTAGTTTGAAATGTGAGAGTTGTGAGCTTGCAAAACATTGTGGAACAACCTATTCATTGAGTAATAACATAAGCAATATTCCTTTTGAAATTGTGCATACTGATGTTTGGGGACCTTATCATACCACTGCTAGGGGGGGACAGATATCTCCTGCTGTTTGTTGATGATTACACTCGTTTTTCTTGGGTTTACCTTATACGTTCTCGAGATGAGGTTCCAACATTGACCTGGATCTTTTATCAGATGATTTTAACCCAATTTGGGGTTAGAATCAAAATTTTTAGATCCGATAATGCGAAACAATATTTTGCAAACCCATTTGCCTCCTACTTGCTTGACCATGGGATTATCCATCAGAGTATCTGTCCTCATACACCACAGCAGAATGGAGTTGCTAAAAGAAAGAATAGACACATATCGGAGGTAGCCAGAAGCATTATGTTTACCTCAAATGTGCCTATACGTTTCTGGGGGGATGCTATTCTTACAACAGTATATCTCATCAATCGGATTCCTTTACGGGTTCTTGACATGAAACCTCCATTTACCCTTTTATATCTTGATAAAGAGTTGTTTACCATTCCCCTTAAAACCTTTGGTTGCACTTGCTTTGCTCAGATCCTTAGCCCTCATCGTTCCAAATTTGATCCTAAGGCCTCAAAATGTATTTTCCTTGGTTATGCACAAATTCGAAAGGGATATTGTTGTTATGAACCCACTTCTGGGAAGAGATTTGTCTCGATGGATGTCACTTTCTTTGAGGATGTATCCTATTATCCAAGGGTTTCTCCTCAAGGGGAGAGTAGTGAGGTTGGGATTAGCTCATCAGAAATTCCTTTACCTATCCCATTAAGTGAAGAGGGGTGTAGTGGAGAAGGTTATCAAAGGTGCATGGATGTGAGAGTCTATCACCGACAGTGGAGGCAGGTTGATTTTGGTCATCAGTAGTCCAAGCCAGCCCCAGATCCTTCTACAAACCCAGATCCAGGTACCACAGTCTCTTCACCAGATACTACAGATGAGAGACCTCCCACCATGGAGCCTTCACCTTTATTGAGTGACCTTGACCTCCCCATAGCAATCCGTAAAGGCAAATGTCGTTGCACCACATCCACAACTCACTACATTTCTCAGTTCTTGTCCTATGATCATTTGCCTCCCTCCTACAAGTCTTTTCTTGCATCCATTGCTGATATTCCCATTCCCAGAACAGTACAGGAAGCCTTGTCAGTTCCTGAGTGGAAATGTGCAATAAAAGTAGAAATGGATGCCCTCATCAGAAACAATACCTGGGAAATAGTTGATCAGCCTAAAGGGAAGAAACTAGTTGGATGTAGATGGGTGTTCACTGTGAAACATAACGCTGATGGTTCTGTTGAAAGGTATAAGGCCCGATTAGTTGCAAAGGGATTTACTCAGACATATGGTATTGACTACTTGGAAACTTTTGCACCAGTAGCAAAGATGACCACTACCAGAGTCATATTATCTCTTGCAGCCAGTTACTCTTGGCCGTTGTATCAGATGGATGTTAAAAATGCCTTCCTCAACGGAGACTTGCAGGAAGAAGTTTACATGCAGTTGCCTCTTGGATCCCAGAGCTTGGTTTGATAGATTTAGACGAGCCCTTGAAAGGTTTGGGTATGTGCAGGCCCAGTCAGACCACACCTTGTTTATTAAGAGAGTGGATTCTTCCTTAACCTTGCTTGCTATATATGTGGACGATATTGTAGTAACAGGGAGTGATACTAGTGAGATTGAGTCCCTTAAGCAACTCCTTCATCAAGAGTTTGAGGTAAAAGATCTGGGAGAACTATGATACTTCTTGGGCATTGAACCCTTACTCGAAATTATTACCATCATGGTGGTTCATATGGTGAAATCCTTGCTCCTGTTTGAGGATATAAATGGTAATGACCTGCGTAGGAAGTGGATGGATGTGGAAAACTAAGCTTCTCATGCTACTATTATCAGGTGGTCTTGGTCCCCACTGGTTGGTGACTTTACTATGATGAATTTTGATAGCAGTAGTGAAGGAAATCACAATCCTTCAAGCATTTGAGGGGTTTTCAAGAATGATGGAAGAAGAATTCTAGCCTTTTTTTCAAGTCCAATTGGTGTTGGTGATTCTTTGAGGGCTGAAATTTTGGCCATAATGGAAGGTGTTATAAGGGCCAAGGAGTTAAATGTTCGAAAATTGGTTATTGAAGGAGATTCAAAGTTAGTGATAAGCTGGCTGCAAAAGGAGATTGTGGGTTGGTGGAATTATGTTAATTGAGAAAGGAAATTCAAGTAAATGACTCTCAGCATGGAAGTTAGATTCCAATGGATGAAAAGAGACCAATTCTTTTGCTGATGCATTGGCCAAACAAGGGGTGGGAAGAGATCATTTGTTTTGGGCTTTGCTGTAATTTTTCTTTTTTCGGGCAGAGATAAGAGAGTTTGTCTCTCCCTTTTCTGATTGTATTGTATCTTCTTTCTATTAATATTTTATGAAGTAATTCAATTATTGATCAAAAACAAAACATCACTTTGACCATGTTTTTTGAAAAAATAAATATGGAACTTAGAACGGCCTGACTTAAAAAAATATATATAGGAAACTTCTAAGGAAAATCCTTGGAGTCAAATACCATGGTTAAAGTCTAAAGTGGAACACTTGATGTCATTTATGTTACGTCCATATTCTCAAGGAACCATTCAACCTAAAAGCTTAAGCTATTAAGTGAGGTCCTTGAATAGGCTTTATTCTCTAACATGCCCCCTCACACGAAAGCCCATTGGGCTTGAAGCGTGGACAGCACAGTCCCACCCATACCTTGTGCTGAAACTTAATTAATTATAATGGGGGTGATGAGAATCAAACACTAGACCACTTGATCAAAGTGGTTCTAATACCATCTCAAAGAACCATTCAACCTAAAAGCTTAAGCTATTAAGTGAGGTCCTTGAATAGGTTTTATTCTCTAACACATGTTAGAAAGTTGTGAGGCTTTAAACTTCAGCAACTTTTCTAATGACTAGGACAGCAGAACTTATAACTTATCTTCAAAGAGAGAATAGCTGTAAATTGTGTACATGAATCAATAAGGGTTTGTGCTGCTCTCAAAAAGTTTTCTATTAATGCAATTATGCTCTATCATTACCTATGAAAAATTATATAATTAGATTGCTCAATATCTCATCTGTAGTAAAAAAAATAAAAATCAATAGGACATCAAACTGACAAATTATTGAAAGAAAAAGTAACACCTTCTAATTTCTTGAAGAGGGAATTACAGCAGAAGAATCTTTTTTTTTCTTTCCAACAAAATTGATTTCAGCATGTCCTGCACCACCCAGGAAAAAAAAGGCTTGAGCAAAATCTCACAAAATAGAAATCCAATAAACTGGCTTCAGTAGTGACAATAGTGAAAAGATTGACTTCACATCTCCTCACTACAAAAGCTTGCTCAATTCAAGCAAGATCTTATGAAATAGAAGACAAGTGCACACATACCTGTTCATCATCAAATGGCACCAGTATTCTCTTAATCCAGCCTTCAGAACTCGAAAAAAATAAAGAATATGGATAGATTCTTTAAGGTTTTTCCATCTCCAAGCATGTCAGACAATTAACGAGACCATGTGAAAAGGCTGAAACATCAAATCACTTGTTTATAAACATGCCATACACAGGAATCATCTTTTTCATCAGAGTATGCATCAACACACAGCGTCAGGCATTCCATACACATTGGGCATGTCTTTATCATCTACAGGTTCTGTCAGACCCATCTGCTTATGAGAAACAATACCAGAAGAAAGACCTCTTACTTGCATCTCATCATTAAGATTGGAGACCTGTTTTAAATCTCTGAATCTGATGCAACCTTGAACTAATGTACAATAGGTCACAATGTTTGGGTCTACACCTTCTACAGCCATTTGATCCAAAAGTTTCGCAGCTGCTTCCATATCCCCTTGCTTACAAAGTCCATTGATCAGGGCAGAATAGGTAATAAAAGATGGAACAATTCCTACTTCTACCATTTTGTCTTTTAATTTTAAGGCTTCATTGATATCACCTACCTTGCAATATCCATCAATCAATGTATTGAAGGTCACAACATTAGGAGTTAACCCCTTTAAGTGCAGCTTATGAAAAAGCCTGACTGCCCTATCTAGGTTCCTTGACTTGCACAACCCATTTATAAGAGCATTATATGTAGTAATGTTTGGAACAAGACCCTTTGCCACCATTTCATTCCGTATGTCGAAAGCTTCATTCACATTGCCAGCTGCTGAACAACCATTGATGAGGGTACAATATGTAAAGTTATCTGGAACAAAACCCCTCTGTAACAAAGCTGAGAAAACTCTTCTTGCCTCAGCTACCTTCCCAGACTTGCTAAGTCCAGCAATCGCAATATTATATATAATATTATTGGACATAAGATGTCTTTTTGCAACTTCATCAAGAGACTTCGCAATTTTCTGAGCATTGAGATATTTTTTATCAGGCCTGGAGAACTTGTTGAAACACCCAAAATATGAAGCCAGATCAAAATCCACCATCTTTTGCAACAAAAGATTTGCTTCATCAATCCTACCAATCCTATATAGGCTACTAACCAGTACACTGCATATAGTTAAATTTGGAGTTAAACCCTTCTCACACATTTCAAAATACGTACAAAATGCTTTATCCAGCATTCCTTCTTTGCACCAACCAGAAATAAGAGCACCATATGTGACAATATTTGGGGTTAATCCCCTCACATGCATTTCATTTAGAAGATCCTTCACTCTACTGCATTTCCTAGATCTGAATAGTCCTGTAATAAGAGAATTATACATTTCGACAGAGGAAGAAATCCCTTCCCTTTCTATATCATCCTTGACACTAAAAGCTTGTCCAATATTTCCAGCTTTGCAATACCCATCAATCAGGATTCTATATGTCATTCCATCAGGGGAATTACCCAACACTTTCATCTTGGAAAAGATCTCCTCTGCTTCAACCATTTTCTTCATCCTACATAACCCACTTATCATTGTATTGAAAATAAAGTTGCTCTTAGTAAAGCCCCTTGACATGACACCTTTCCAGAACTTCAAAGCCCCTTCAAAATCCCCCATCTTGAAAAGACCATCAAGAATTGTACAACAACTAATCTCATCAGGAGCCACACCCCTTTTGAGCATCAAAAACCAAAGATTCAAAGCATCAAGAAATGCACCCTTATGAAATAAACACTTCAGAAGTGTATTATACGTCAAAACAGTTGGTTTAACCCCATTTTGTAGCATCACACTGGAAAGCTCATATGCCTCATTTATGCAACCTTCTCTACAATACCCATTTATAAGAGTATTATAACTATAAGAATCTGGCTTCAAGTTCCAGATCTCCAAATCCATTATTACTTGTTCTGCTTCACGGACTTGTCCAAGTTTGCAGTATCCATTAATTAGGGAGTTGCAAATAAATAAATTCATCTCTAATCCTAAACTCAACATCTCATCACGAATTCTAACAGCATCATCAATTTTACCAGTTTGACAATACCCATTTATCAATATGCCATATACAAGTTCATCTGCAACCAAGGACTCTTCTTTCATGCGTAGGAAGACCTCTTCAGCCTCACGCATCTTGCCTTGTTTACAGTAACCCTTAATTAATAATGTATAAGTGACTACATTGCATGAAATTCCTTTATCAGACATCATTCCAAATATTTGCCATGCTCCTTCCATATCACCTAAATTGACATAACCGTTGATGAGAGAGTGGCAAGTTACAGCATTTGGTTCAAAACCCATGCCCTCCATTTTCTTTACAAAGTCGATTGCTTTATGCACTTTACCATCCTTACAGTAAGCATTAACCATTATCGTACAAGTGAAAACATTGGGTATGATCCCGGCCCTAATCATCTGATCATAAACATGAATAGCCGTGTGATTTTCACCCCTCCTAATCAAATTACTCAAAAGGCTGTTACAAGATAACAAGCTAGGGGTGCATCCAACTTTCCCCATGTTGTCAAACACAAACAGCGCCTTCTTCACCAATCCTTTCACAGCATAGATCTTCAAAAGCATGTCAAAAACAGTTGGAGAAAATGAGAACTCCCTAAAAACTGCAACAAGTTCATCGAAAACCAGCGAAACAGAAGACTTGGTCTTAGAAATTTCTACCAATTCATGTAAGTACAGTTTCGTCTCATCAAACATTCGTCCCTTAGACAAAATATGAACAATCTTGCAGTAAGATTTGATATTGGGTCTGAAATTCTGCTGCCTCGACGCCAATCTGAAAAACCCTAAACAGGCATTCGGGTTAAGCCTAAGCTTTCGAAGAACGCCATCAAGGATTTCATCGGTATAACCGAAGGACAGCTGAGGGATGGCCTTAAGGCGTCCAAGAATAAGAATTCGGCATATCCTTTCCAGCAGTTCAGGTTGGTTAAGCTTGAGTTCGTCTCTGACCTTCCACCAAAGAACTCGACTTCCGTGGATTGATTCCTTTCGGTAAAAGTGGCAGAGAAGATGAGGAAGACGAGAGGCAGAAGAGTACCTGAGCATTTCAGGGAAGCTGTTGCGCGAGAATTTGGAAAGATGACGATCGTTAAACGCATAACTATCGTCGAGTCGTCAATTATTAAACTCGAATTAAAGGTTGCATTTAAGTTGCAGTGGACTGTTTAACAATCTCACTTCACTTCGGTCGTTTCCCTGCCCGTGTCTGAATTCAGAGATACGAGGTCTTCTGAGAAGCACAGTGAAATCACAGATGTAGTCCATTTGTTATGAAAAGAGAGATGGGAGTTAGGGCCAGGGTGATTATTTTCAGCCCGGCCTGGCCCTGAAAACGGGCTTTCCTAGGTTTTGTGTTCAGGCCCGGCTCATCCCGCTTCAATCCTGCAAAGGGTCCAATACTTCAAACCCAGCCTAGCCCACACATATTCATATACATGTTATTTATGCATAATTTACATACATTTTATATTGCACCTATAATACACATAAATGTCTGTTTGGTTCCCGGAATAGATGATTGCTTGATTTTGATTCCAACAGTTTATTTAATTAAAATGGGATTCCGATTCTCGTTCTTAACAAAATGGGACTCCCTGGAAATGGCAACAAGGTAGGGCAGAGAAGGAGAAACCCCCCCCCCATTCCCGTTCCTACAAAAATTCCCATCCCCAATCCTTGCCGATGAGGATAGGGTTTTTCCCATCCCCACAAGGATCCCCAATCCCCATCATTTTTTATGATGTTAAATTTATTTAATTTTTTATTTCTATTTCATTCCAAATTTTTTAATAAAAATTATTACAATTTATAATTCTATCTAAATATATTCAAATACATTCAAACATGTCTACCCATATTTTTAAAATACTAACACAAATATATATTACAAAGTGGGGATCCCTATGTGGTAAGGAGTACTCTCCTTATCCCCATCCCATCCTCGTCCCCACAAGGAAAAATCATCCCCATCCCTACCCCAAATGGGGAAGGTCATCGCAGGGTTCGAAAAAATGGAGAAAACTGCCATCCCTGGATTTCCCCCATATGGGAAGTTGGTATTCCAAGCCCTGCCTTAGAAATGAGATTCCCATTGTAGAGTTTCTCAAAAAGTAAACAACTCCTAATAGGGTAAATTACAAGGGGCCTCCTTGTACTATGGGGTCAATGACAATTGCACCCTAAACTTTCATTGCAACAAAGATTCTCCTGAACTCTCACTTTGCGACAAATGCCCCCTTTGTTAGGGTTCCATCAAACTTTGAAAATGATTCTCCTTCGACTGTTTGAAGTTTTCTAAGTCTCTCCATCAAACTTTGAAAATGATTCTCCTTCGACTGTTTAAAGTTTTCTAAGTCTCAAAACTACCCTCAATCCATGTGTTGATTTTAATTTTTTTTCCTTCTATTTTTAAAACCTTTAAACTTAGCTTTTGGAGAATATAAGAATAAAATATAACTATTTTTGCATTTATTCTATGACCTTAGAACCCAGGGTATCTTTTAGTTGTATGTATTTTTTCAGCAAGAAGCGATGGAAGTGCAGCAACAAGCCTTGGTTTGTTCTTTCTTTGACGATGACAACAAGCATCTATAAGCCAACAAGGATAAGGGTGATTTGATAGTCTTGAAAGTGGATCAAGAAATGCCTCTGAAACTAAAGACAGTAAGTTGGTGGAAACTCAAGGAAAATGGAAAAGCCAGATAGATGATTGGAATGTGGGGAATTACAAGACATTGGGTAAGGATTTGTGTCCTCTAATGCCTTGCTTGTTCACCTATTTATTAAAGCAAGAGAGCAAGCTACATGCATGAAGGTATAAGAGCTGGGATATTTTCAATCTCAATAGACATTAGGGAAACAAATCTTGTCATTCTCTTTAAGAGAATAATGTGTGCCAATATAGTTACCAAGTACAACCCGACATGTTTCCTTAGGGAAACAAGGTCGGATGAATCCACGAGGTCACACTTTTGGTCTTTGAATGTCAAGTCTCTAGTCTAGCCTCGCGAGGTCAAATATAGCCACAAGGTCATTGGGTTGCTAGCCTTTAAATGTTGAAACCCTGTTCTGACTTCGGGAGTTCAATGAGTCGGTGAGCCAAAATTTCGATCACATTGGATTTGGAATGTTATGCATCACGAGGCTTTGTTGGGACCAATGCCCTTGCCCAAGAGAGGGGGTGGACTAGGTAGAGCTTTCTAAAAAACGAAACTTGATTATCTTGGAATTCAATCTGTTCTTAGACTCTTGACAAGACAATCTCACAAGCTTTCACCTCAAACTGAAGTTAAGTCTTCTTAACAAAGAAGATCAAGATGCAGTAAAAATTAGGCTTAGTCAGATTGATTTAGCAATTAATCAAGATGTTACTCTTAGATTAACCTAACTGTTGAACTGATAACTTGCAACTACAAAAACAAACAAATAATACAACAGCAAGAGCACAGGAGTTAGGAGTCAATAACTAATAACAATAATAACAAGGACTCCTAACAATTTGATAGCAACTGAAAAATAAATACAATAGTTTGGAACTGTAGCTTGCTATCATGCTAGTGGTTCCATAGTTAATCAAATAAATATAAAGATAGAAAGTAAATAACTACAGAAAAAGTACAAGGCAACTGAATGTAAATGAACAATAAATTTAAATATGGCAGTTGCACCTGGTGGTGTGTGCCTGAATAGCTAGAGAGAGGACCAGCCATAAATCAATAGTAGAGAATAGGACTTGTTACAAAATGATGGCTAAAAAGAGGACCAACTATCCAACTACAATCATCTTGAGATTCAAGCAGTGATCAGCTACAACCAGAATCTTAATGACAGATTTAACTACTGAAATGTAAATACTATCAAATAATAAATGAACAATAAATATAAACAGTAGTAAATGTAAATGCAGAGCAGGTAGAGTGAGTTAGTATAGTTAGTAGGGTTAGTAATGTTAGTAGCTTAGTAACTACACAAAATGGCCTTGTATCTTATATATGAAAACAAAGAGAGAAAAAATAAACAACAGAAATGCAAGATCTTAAGGGATCAAGTCATTATTATAGTCGGGAAAAATTATCAAAGTAAAACAAATTGCAAAACTTTAAAAGAAAAGAAATAAATGAGGCACAACAAGATTTTTATAGAAGTTCGGCCAACCTTGCCTACGTCCTCCACCTCAAACCACCATTGAGGATTTCCATTAATTGACCAGAATTCCTAGTCTTCATCCTTGCCATTACAACCAACAGAACTTAGCAAGTGTTTATAATACTTGAAACCAATAAGACTTCACAGGTACTAACCCAACCTAAACCAACAAGGCTTCTAGTGCCTACAATACCATGTAGTTGGGCTTAACAGAGGTGACAACAAGACCTTAATGATGTTCAAATTATTAAGCACCTACCTGATCAAATAATCTTTTTTCTCTTAAGCAATGGAGCAGGCTTACAAGCAAGAGCAATCTCTCAATAGGTAGATTTATACAATACAAGCACAAACTAAAACTCAGTTGCTAGAGTTCTCAATGATGCTTGGCTCAGAGAAGAAGATCCTAAAAGATGGGTGAGACATTATAAGCTCATTGACTTCTTAAGCAAGGGATCTCTTTCTTCAAAATGTCTCTAGCCTGGCTTACTCTATCTGAAAAACAACTATATACAATATGTACAATGAATGCACATGTTATTTCAAAGTTGTTAGATAGAGTACTCCCTTATCTCCAATCAGACTGATGTACATTAAGTTTTATGTAATAATAAAATCAGTTCATTATTGTTCTATGTTTGAATTTGTGTGTTTCTATGAATTACCCTTTAAATTGGACACTTATGAGATTTAAGTTAGTTTAAAAAATTCTTAGCCATTGTATAAACTTGGGGAGCTTGTCCAAACAAGGTTGACATTAATATGCTACCAAAATGGTGGAGTAGCTTGTCTTAGCTACTAGGTTAAACCCAAAGTACAATCAGCAGGTGTTTATAAGAAACATTGAATATGGACCAATTTCTAATTATACCTTGGACCTTGGAGATAGATGAGCAAAACTAGAAAGTTTCACTTATCTCAAAACTTGATATTGATACTACATTAGGTCTTGGACTGAATTGCTTTTGATATGCCAACTAGTGAGGTCTATTAGGGTCAAACACCCGGAAATGTTGGAGCAGTTTAGGATATTACCTGAGTAGATGATTATTGTGATAGGATCAGCCCCTTTGTTAGACAAAGTGAATATCAGGGTTTACACTCTCTCTGATGGAAATCTAAACTATTTTACAATCAAAGAAGAGGTCATTCCCTGTGAACAATGTTTTGATTGTTTAGGACTAAGAGGTTAAGTGTAAGAAATTATTACAGGGCTGAGACTTGATGGGCTTAATCTTATATTAGTTCATTATCCTTATGCTTCATAGGGAACTGAGGGTCACTTAGACTTAAGTGTTGGGCCCATACTAAGCTCAATTTGATTAGCTTAGGGGTTTATTGCCTTTGTTCAATGAATTCAACCTATGTGTTTTCAAACATGAGTTAAAACTATACGGACTGATATTAGACCTTTGTAGGTCCCACACCATACCTTATTTAGGCCAAAGAAGCCTTCTAATAGTTATGTAAGTGAATCACTAAAGGAAATGGAACTTAGCCCATTAACTAATAACAAGTAAGACTAGTTAAACTAGTCACATGACAACATGTGATTTGGATTGAATATAGGTATGGATATGGGTTTAGACCTCCATATTATTGGTGTAATTGGAGACCTAGCACAAATTTGATTTCGATTAGTCCTAATTACATTAGGAAAGATGTCTATATATAGAAATAAGAGGGAGAAGTCAACCTAGGGGGTGTAATCGAGTCGATTCGAGCCGAATATCAAGCTACTCAAGCTCAAGCTCAACTAAAAAACATAGAGCTTGAAACTTGACTCGAGCTCGATCGAGTTTAATATATTTAGCTTGAACTCGACTCGAGTTGATGCTTATGAGCTACTCGAGCTCGACTTGACTTAAGCCAATTATAAATAAATTAATATTAAAAATTATAAATAAATCAATATTAAGTATGCTAATTAAAAATATAAATAAATTAATATTATAAATAAAATATATTTTAAAAATCAATTATAAATGTATTTAATTATATTATAAATAATTAAATATTTATAATATAATTGAAGAGGCTTTGCTTCTATAGAGTAGTCACCTTAGTGAGTTTCCATGTTGGAATCTCCATTAGAGACATTAGTTGCATTTGTTGGATTTCTTCATGGCACGTGTGACAAGACGGT